TAATAATTCATGATTGTGTGGCAGCTAAGCATCGGTAGAATTATCGATGTACTGCTGTCTATGATGATGATGATGAACAATTAATGCAACATATGAAACTAGGTGTGCTCCTCCTTTCACATGCTGTCAAAGTTGGTTTAATGTAATTTTAACACTGAAAAAACACCTAGCAAAAGGCAGACTAATGGATTCAATGGGTGGATATCAGTAGCTAATCCAGCATAAGATTTTCTCTATATTTAAGGTACTTGTGGGCCACAATAAACCCTTAGTCTATAAAGTACCTTTATTTTTTTAGAGGCCTCTTCTAGCTTCATGTTGGACTTCATTTCTTCTTCCTTCAGAACGTGTCTAAGAAGAAATATGAAGAGACAAGATTTCACAAATGTAGTCTAAACTTCCGATAAAGTAAAGGTTAAAATAGAGTATGTGGCTGGTTAGCATTGTATGGATGCACAGCCCACATATCGAGTTTTCAAAAAAGATGTGAAAAGACTAGTTAAATATTTAAAAATTCAAATTCAATAATCACAGACATAACTAAACTGCCTCATGACCTGCTACTACATTTATATTTATTGTAGATTTATGTTTATCCAAAGTGGAATTTTCGTACATTATAAATCTTTGTATATAAAAAAAAAGACTTCTAATAAAGCTTTCCATGATAACACAAGCTTACAAACATACAGACAACATTTTTATATTGAATTACCAAGGTTGTCTAGACAAGGCCAAACAAATTTATCTGATGGAGCTCAATCTAGAAAAAAACTCCTTTGCTAAGAACAGAGAGTAATATCTGCATTTTGATATCATCATTAATCAAACAGTCAAGTTCAAAGTGTTCAATAAAATAGACACTTTCAACTTTAAAATTATAAACTTTACATATATATTTACTATATTACAATGTTTACTACTCATATCATACTAGATACAGTAAAATTTGTTCAAAATTGCAAGTCTTTCTGAATATAGCTCATAAATTCTCCCTCATTTTTCACTAATGTTGTTTTTCCTATCACATTTTAAGCACGGAATTCAGTTAAACCTGTAGAAATTCGGGTTTAGAGGGTTAGCAGAATATCAAGACCTTTTAATTCAAGTCTTTTGGATATTGTTAACAGTAATAGTAAGTCCATGGGTCATTCAACTGTGTGGAGTGTCTTCAAACTTCATATTCAAAGTCCCAACCTCACAGTAAATTTTACCCTACTATAAAATTGGAGTCACCTAAAAGTGACAAACAGTATCATCAGGTACTTTATTTACAAACTCTCAACATCAGGCAATAAAATCGCCAAGACACTACACCCATATTCTCCCAACCCAACCTGACAGCCATAATGTCAGCACAATACAGATATTCCATTCCAACAAGTCTACTGTTAATATCATGTTATACACAAATCTGTGTTATAATTAGTATTAACAAATCATAATAAGAACTTAAATTAGTAGTAAATACGCTAATATATATATATATAATCCTATCATGTCTAACATTATCCAATCGAGATAAATAGCCTGATTATGTCTAACATTATCCACTCAAGATAAATAATCCAATTGTGTCTATCAATGAAATATACAGTCAACTTTTTTTTTGGCACAGATTTTTCAATAACAACCATAGCATGTAATTGGTATTGATATATTCTCATGGGTATATCAGGTTGAGTTTCTAATTTATTACTTTTTGATTTCATTTTTGTTACTATACTTTCACTATAAAGATTGTTGTACAAAGTTAGCTTGGTATATGTATTTAGGGCTAACCTAAATCTCCTACACTAGCAGAACCTCATTAGATCTTATTGGGATTAAGGCCAAAAATTTCATTGAGAGAGAGGGCACTCAACTGATGAAATAATGCATTCTAATCTTTATAAATAAGAATATAAAAAAAAGTATATTTAATATTCTATAGTCATTACTTATATATACCAGATTGAAGTTTACTTTTACTCTAAGAAGGTAGCATTGCTTTGATCGGAAGTTAATACAAATCAGTAGCCTGAAATTTTATTCTTTGAAATATGTACATAAGTTAGCTTATATGGAGGGGATGTAAACAGTAAAATTCTTTCTAGAAGATCTATTTTTAATCCTATCTTAAACTAATAGACACCTTCAACCAAGGTGTGTTTATCAATCATTAATTGTTTAAGTTACTAACCATTACTTTCTAGAAAGAAATAATAATAATTTAAACAACTATTTTATACTAACAGGTAAACATTAATTACTAATACACTTTAGTATCATCAGATCAGGCCATGTTTTTTTTTTCTTTTCAAGATGAAGATGTAATGTACTTGTATTTGAGCTTGAAAATTATTAACAAAACTCTTCCACTTGACATTTTCAGAGAACAGCCAGATAAAAGTTAGTTACATTTTCCTACAAAAATGATTGGAGTAAAGGTATGTTTAAAAACAAAACAAAAAATTTAACATTAGTTACTGCCAAAATAAAAAACTAGGCGTGGATAGTGCAACATGGTTGTAAACCATGCTTAAAAATAGAATATTGTCATCGTACGAGTTAGTCCAAGTTTGAGATATGTACAAAAGTTTAATTTATCTATAAAAAATAACTTGAAAAACTATAACATCAAGTCTAACTGCCATACTGGAAAGTTGAACCTCCTCAAAAGGCCAAGAAAATTGAAGACAAATACAAATGTCTACTAAAAGTTTGACAGTATTATATTTCATTTTTATTTGAACAAAATATTAATAACAATAAAACAAATTTAACATGTTAAATGAATATATATGAATACACAACATAATGTTTTCTAATTAAAAACATTATTAAAATAAATGCAAATGACAAGATTTTATTCAAACTTTATGTGAAATTAATATTTTATTTAAGCTTTTTAATGTATTACAAATTTCTACAAAGTCACGTTAATTGTGAATAAACCAATACTACTTACAATAAAAACTTCTTAATTGTAAAGTGTTAAACGGTTTCATTGTAATGTGTAAATATGAAAAAATTCTCACTTTTTCGCTAACTCCATCTGATTTTTAACATTTTCTACTTCTTCATTGGAAGCTTTAACTTCTCCTTGGAGTCTAAAAATTGAATAGTTTTACAGTGTAACTCTTCTACAAAATAATAGCCAATAATACAAACAAACGATATTAATAAACGTTATAATAAAAAGCTTCAACTTATAACTAATGTTTTAAATCTTTGATATGAGCTATTGTATTGTTGTTTCAAATTTATCTTACATGTATATAGACGTACAACAAATAACAAGAAGAAAAAAATTAAAGTGTTTTCTGAATAATGACTCAAAAAATGGTAATTCATTTTTGTGTTACTACCCTTACAACTCTGAATCATTTTTATAAATAATGGCAAGAAATGTATAACGTCCTCTACCCTTGAAACAATTATTCAAACCTGGAATTATTTGGCCAGTAGTATTTTATACACTTTGAAAATTTTGTGCATACAGTTCATGTATGTTTATCACTGTTTATAGCTATATATGGGCCCAAGAACTATTATACTTCTTTCATTATACAAAAAAAAACATGTCATAGGAAAAACAAAAATATATATATATATACAAACAACTTCTGGCCTTTTAAAGTGACTATGAACCAAAACTATATATGAATGTCATAACATGATGAGTGTGAGCTTTTAAGGTAAAAAATCTCAGAACATATTCATAAAATATCACACAAAAATGAGGGCCCTTTTTAAGAACATTTATTACCTTTCAATTTTATGATGCAACTCCTGGACTGTTTCACATTTTTCTGTTTCAAGCTTGAAAAGCAAAAATATATATATTATCTCAGCCAAATTACATACACGTTTCTACAACAGGCAGTTGTCGTCCATTCTACAAAGTTTCATCATGAATACTCTGCCTAAACAATCTATCAAAGAAAGACGTATTTGACTTCTGTTTGAGAATTGTGTTCATATATAAAACTTTTGTATTGTAATGTTGTGTCATGGTAAGAAAGTACAACAAGTGTATGTTTGTTTTTAAAGTAACTCCATGTGATATGACAAAGATTTTCAAGAAAAAAATAATTATGGGAATTTATACATTGCAACAAGCATCTATAACCACTGACTTTAAAAAGAAACAATGCTGCAGTAATACATTTAAATTCACCCTCTAACTAGTGATTTGATTTGTTTAGAAATGAAAGATGGGTGGAGTTTTCAGCACCCAACTCCCTATGTGACCAATTAAATTTAGTTCTTGGTTAGTAACAAATCACTTTCAAGTACTAATGTGACATGAATAACTGTACAAATAAATTTTCTTCGATTAACAGTCTGTAAATGTCATTGTTTCTGTTTAAAAACTAAATATCGAATGATAACAAGCTATTGCTTTTTGGTTCACATGACCAGCTTTTGTAATAATGTTTTATATATACAAAGTTTCTTGAAAAATTGATTCCATGCAACTCTGTTTTTAGTACATATGTGTAAGATGACATATGATATATAATTAAATTATATATATATATATATATACAAGTAAAGGGTGCAAAAGATATAAAAACTCATTGGAAAAAGTAACAAGTTTGGTACTGACAGTTAGCTATTTATAATAATTGACCATCATCTGATTCTATCATTTTTATATAAAAATTTCAGATAAATTAATACTTAGAAGAAAAAAAAGTATTTTATTTGAAGCATTATGATTTTCAAAACAAAGTATTTTGAAAATTTTAGTAGGTCAATTCTATCGTATTTCAATGATAGAATAATTCACAAAAATATATATAACAAGTATTATGGCTGTACAACAGCCCATTTGGAAATGACAATGGAAGTTCAATCATGATTCTTACAAACTTCTGAAGGCCTTCAGAACATTTTGATTATGGTTATGTGCATCTTGCCTTAAAGCATTTTCACGCTTTATCAAAATATATATGGTATGTACTATATGGCACTTAATATCATTTACAAAATGGTTTAGTTAGAGTCAACTGTCATGTAATGTCGCAGAGTCGTTAGCCACAAACTACCTTAGATTGTGAAGGTTATTAACGAAGTTATTATGTAAATGTACATGTATACAGACGGTTGTTTATACAAGCACAATTAGCCACATTACACATAACATTAATACCAAACAGTGAGAACTTTTACAAGGAGAATTAAAACACAAATAAATAAATTACAA